AAAGGATTGTGCACCAAATGTTCACCTCTATTTTTCGACTTGTATGACAATAAATTACAGACGCCTCTGCTCTTTATAAGTGGTAAGACTTGAAAAATTTGTGTTACATTAAACACTTATTTTTCCCCTCTGCATTAGTTTCAGTCTAAAGTTTCAACTTCTAAAAGTGCAAAGTATCCTCCAAAAATGTGCTTCTACAAAGTGCTTACTAAAGTGTGTCAGGGGGAGAGTGAATATAAAAGTACACCACACTTTTCAGAATTTCTTCTAAAAAAAGAAAAAAAGCAAAAGAATAGGTTATTAATGAATTATTTCCTTTTTGTTTCACAGTATTGATTGAATAGATCAATTTGTTGTGTTAGTATATCTAAAAAAATTCCCAACAAAATTTATTCCAGTTTTGTAATGGGAGAAAATCTGGAAAGATTCAATGGACATATAACACTGAATGCCTGTGAAGTAAGGAAAGGAAAGCCTGAATGATAAATTAAGCATTTCAAGCAGATTAGGGAGTTCAAGCCATGCAAATGTTTTCAGACATAGATGCTCTAATAACACACTCAAAATGAAGGTGAAACCAAATTTCAAATTACAGCCGAACACATTCAAAGCAAGAAAAAAAAAGAAAGAAAAGAAAACCTCAGTTATACACGGGATTCTAAGAGCTCAGGGTGAGAGAAACTCCTCTCCATTAATATTAGATAAAGCCAGGACTTTGCCATTGACCTCCAGGGCTGAGCGCAGAGCCACAAGGACAAAGGCCAAGCGTGGGGCAGAGCAGCACTCAGGGATGAGGTCAACAGGCTGCACCGACCTCTGCAGGCCCGGCCCCCGGGTTTGGGAGTGTGAGGTTTAAACAGAAAAACAGCGAGAAAGAGAGAAAGAGAAAGACAGAGAGAGAGGAGGGCCACACCCGACTAATCAGAAACACATCCAGGACATTGGGTCTGCTGCATCAACCCAACGTGCCACCTGCAGCAGCCAACAGCCGCAGGCGAAGGAGGCGAGGTGATCAGAATCTGTTCTACGTCACGCAGGCCAGGATTCGGAGTACGAAAGACAAAACGCTTACGGACAGGCATGCAGCTCACATGTAAACAAAGTCCCAGAAACTTACATCTGTGGCTTTGTTGAGTACTTCGGCCGCTTCGTCATACTCTGGCTTCATTTTCTTGCAGTGGCCGCACCCTGCAGGATCCCAAAGAACAGCCGTTGCAGCCAAACAGATGGGTTTCATTCAGCTGTAGCATTAATCAATAAAGTTACAGAAACAACAGAGCATTTCATGTGGGCTGGTCAGTGTCACACACTTTGAAAGAATTTAAAGGAACTATTTCTTAATTTGAAACAACAGAAAAAGGACAAAATTCTACCAAGTAACTTTGGTCTAGATTAAATTGCAAATATCTTAAGACAATTGAAATTAAACAAAAGTGACTAGAATAAAAAAATGTGAACCCATACAAATTATTTTTTGAGTTTATGTTTTTGTTTAGTTTGTTTTTTGTAAATCTATATTGTTTAAATACATTTTTGGGATGAAAGGGAAGATGATATGAGTTTTTTTTTTTTGTCTTTCTACTGACTTTCATTTCATTGATTGGTATTTTTTTCTATTTTATATAATAGTTCTGTTTTAATGACAGGAATAAATGTCCTAATTTTTCAGCAAGACATCGGAGCTCAGTGATTCAGTGATTTGACGTCGACATGCTCAGCTACGGCTAGCTTCGTGGAAAGCAGAGCTTTGGGGCGTTGGAGGAGTTGACAGGAAAGTCAGTCACTGCAGAGACGACGTGACAGATGACTTAATCTGAGAAGCTTTCCGTCGCCTCGGCCCAGATACTTCAACCCATCCAAGTGCACAACTTCATCTGCATGATGACAGAAAACACCACTGAGCATGAATTCAAAACTAAAAGTGGAGAAATATGTTTTCTCGTACTTTTATTATTATTATTATTTTGGACCACTCCAGTCCTAACAACCACACATACTTCAATCAGAAATATTCAATCCCCTCGCCTGAAGACACTACAGCAATGTGGATGGAAAATAATGATAAATTGCTAGAAACCTTTTTAACAATGTAGTTTTTATTTATCTGGACAATAGAAGTTAACTTCACAAACAAAATTGTATAGAAAATAAGCCTCAGTCATCACATTTAACATACTTTTCAGACTTTTTTTCACAGCCCAGCACAACTTTTTTTCATCTTTTTTGCAACTAATACTCAAAAGAAAATTACAATATTCATGAACTTAGAAATCCCGTTGATTAGATGTCAGAAAATAGACGCGATTGGAGTTTTCGGGGCCCTTGCCTTGCACTGCTGGTCAGCTGAATGCAAGAGTGCTCTACCAAATAAGGCAAATGTGGCTAAATAATATTAATACACCGTCTATTATTAATCAGTATATCAAAAGGATGTATTAGTGCAACTATAAATGAGAAAAAAAATGTGTGACTTGCATGAAAGGTGTGGATAATTATTTGTAGTGTGTTGCATCTCTGTGCTTGCCTTGCTTACATTTAGCTGTAATTATGAACATTTATATTATTGTAGCAGAGGCAGAGTTAATTATTGGTTTTCACAAAAGCAATTATGTTCGTGTTTCAATTTTTTTGGCATAATTACAAAAACGTATGTGATATCGTCAAAGCAAGTCTATCATCCAGTGAGAGTCGTACCAGCCCATGTTTAACAGGAAAATCATTAAATCCAGAAATGGGGAATAAAAAAACACTGTAAAATTATATATTCCTCCAAAAGAATGTAGAAGAAGAAAAATTTTTTGCCTCATTTGCAAAACAAACAAATCTTGCTTTTACAAAGATCTACACTCACTGGCCATTTTATAAGGTACATCTTTGTAGCGCCAGGTTTAATTCCCTTTCATCTACAGATCTGCCTTAATTCTTTGTGGAGCAGCTTGAACAAAGCACCAGATCCATTTGTCAGACATATTTGGTCCATGCTGACGTGATATGAGTCACCTGGGCACCAACTCTTTCCATCCCACAGCTGAAATATGCTCTATTAGGGTGAGATTTATTGTCTATGGAGGCCTTTGAATTACACAAAACTCATCATCTTTGCCAATTTTGTGATTTTTCCAGACTGTTATTGTCCAATTCTGGTGAACTTAAACCTTCCTGTTCCTAACTCCCTGGAGCAGTGGTGTGTGTGTGTGTGTGTGTGTGTGTGTGTGTGTGTGTGTGTGTGTGTGGTGTGTGTGTGTGTGTGTGTGTGTGTGTGTGTGTGTGTGTGTGTGTGTGTGTGTGGTCTTTTGTTGCTGTGGGTCACCTCCAAAGGATGATGTGTCTTTATGTTGAGAGGGGATTCTGATTACCTTGGTTAGGGACTCGCATCCAACATATCTTTAAATAATTTTTTTTTTTTAAATATATAGATTACATAGACACCCTCTCTATTCCGTCTAATGACCAGAAAGAAGTGCCGCACAAAGAATGAAACAAACTTTTTCTGAACTTGTTAAATTGCCCTTGTCATAACGGTTCAGGAAGTCCTTTCTTCAAAATAATAAGCATAGCTGGTGCAGGCCATAAATCAAGAGTAATGCACGTTGTGGCAAAGAAAAGCTTTAAACTAAGCCTCTGTGGCGTTTAATTGTGCAGAGTGTGTTGAGGCTCAGCAGAGATGCAAAGTGATTCAGAGGACTTTTTTTTTTTTCCATGACCCTTCAAAATGATGAGCAAGAGAGAAAGCCCAAACGTCCGTCCTTTGCTCTGTGTCAGGCCTGTTCTGCATTCGGAACAGGCGGCGCGTTGGTGTGCGCTCAGCGGGGGAGTGGGGTTTGCTAGATACTGCTGATGCTGATTGAATGTAGATCAGAGTCAAAACAGTAAATATGTTAGCTCTGGAAAACAACGGAGACGTTCCAATAAAACGGAGGTTCTACTGTTTTACAGAAAATAACGAGGTGTTGGGAAAAGACATAAGCTAAATGACAATTCCAAATTAGTTACAAAAAAAAAAAAAAAAAAAAACAAAAGAAAGGATTTTCTGCAGGTTTCACCAACTCAAATTTAAGACTTTTTAAGAGGTTTTTAAGCCTATCATGAGTAACATTTAAGATGAGAAAATCACATATTTTATATTGTAGTCCAAAGCTTCTTTTTTTTTTTTTTTGCGTAGAATGCGCTTAGCATCGTTCAGCGAGACAATCATTTACTAATTTATTATCATTTATTATAATCATTTATTAGCAGCTAGTTAGCAGTAGCCTCAGCCACTCCGAGTCACAGGATGCTCAGAAAATGTCTGAGCAAATTTTTGCCTGACAGAAGTGTTTCACAATAAAAATTAACTATATAGAATAGCGGGTTTCCCTCAGAAAACTTGCTAAGCTCCGTGATCAGAGCGCATGGGAAGTCATCCAGCCTGCAGCCATAATTCTGAGCTAAAAATGCTTAAAGTTGACAGGAAATTTGAAAATCACTTGTTAGTTAGGATTTTTTTTTTTTTTGAAGACAGGAAGATTAATACCCACATACCAACTATAAACTCTTTTAAAAAAAAAAGAGGCAATGATTAAAAAAGCTAAAATAAATTAACAATGCTAAGTCCAGGCACAAATTAAGCCTGCAGGCCCACCAGGCTCATAATACACTGTGGGAAACCCTAGAATATACAAAAAAGCTTAAGACCTGTGATGAATGTATTTAAGCCCATCTTACAATTAGAAAAATAATAAATTTAAAAAACTTGAATGTCTTAATTTTAAATACATGCATTTAAGACTTTGTAAACCCTGTGAAAGGGGGCCCAATGACCAATGATCAAACAATGCAACTATATTTAGCTTTGAAACAACACTCAGAACATCAAAAGCTTGGGCTGAAAGAAACTTTTGTTTTGGTCCAGAACACAATCGCTTGCCCTCAGTGCACCGAACTGGAGGCCCCCAAGAAGTTGCACGCAAAGCTCCCCTGCTGTGCATTTCAGAGGACAGTGAAAACGGGCAGAAATGCAAGCTGATCGCATCGGCCGGGAGAACATTAATCTCAATTTGACAACAGAGCCGTCAAGAAACTGCACCACAGCAGCAAAACCGGGCATCTACATGTCTGTGCTTCCATTTGAGAGAAACAGAGATATGCAGCTCAATTGTGCGCACTAAATGTTTTGTCATGGTGTGTGAAATATGCAGTCGATATGCCGCCAGCGCGTGCACGCCTTTCCGTGAGTTGCGCGTGCGCTGACAATATTTGATGAAGCTTGTTTCAGCCGACTGCCCTTGATCTGAGTGTGTTTACGACTGGCTGCTGTTCCGGGGGTGAGCCAAGTGCAGCAGAGGCATCTGTGAAGCTGCGACACCGCAGAGGGAAAAGAGCGGAGCAATCTGCTTCCAGCATCGTTCAAACAGACACTCGCTCAAACACTTCTCTGCACATTCAGGCTAAAAATAGAGGAGAGAGAAGAGGGAGAAAAAATGCACCATGATTTTGGTCACCCTGTCAGTGACCTCTGAAAGTTGAAGTGATGTGATCATTTTGCTACATGCAAAACAGAACTGGAAGGTAATCAGCGGTTGTGGCTAAATGATTCTTTGTCTAAACACCAACAGCAGGAATCCATAATAAAAATATTTAGGTTTATCAACAATAGTTTGTTCTTGGCTATGTATGTACATGTTTTTCTCTGTCCCACTGACTGCTCTCATTTTTTAAAACCTGTTTGAAATAAATAATTTCAGAAAAAAATTGACTAAATCCATTCATATGTAGAGAGAAATTAGTTGCCATAAAATTCCCAGCCTCATTCTTGCAGTTATAGAACTCATTAGTTTGACATCTGACCCCGATCTGTCCCCACCCGAACCACAAAAATAAAAAAGTTTTATAATTTTTTTTTAAAACGATTTAATTTAGTAGTAAGTGGCTCTGCTCTAATAACTGAATTTAACATGTGAGGCTTAAAGAGCGGTTTTCTGTAATTCAGTGGAAAATGTGTGCGTTTGATTTCTGAGTCGAGTTGGTTGCTTTTAGAAAGAAGCACAAAATTACATGTTAAAATGTCACCATTTTTTTCCAAATAAACTTATCAAATCCTTATTAAGGCTTGAACTGGTGTGGCTGTTTTTTGTTATGTATTATTACAGATTAGAGATATGCAGAGAAAGAGTGGGAACTGATGTGCAAGACCATCCAGAAATAGCTGCATCATGATTAAGATGCTGTTGTCTAACTTAATGTGAATTTCTTTATCAATAATTTATAGCTATATGTCACAACAAGAAGAATAGAAAGCTCCCCAACAAGGAGGAGGCGAATTTGATCAAAGTCATGTCTGGAAGATGGAAAAAGTCTGGCAGGGTTACAAAGTTCTGCGTAACAACAGTGTGCGGTGCCTGAATGAAAATGTAAAGCATGTGCAGAGACGACAAACGGGCTTATATGAACCATATGGCGACAACGAGGTGCTATTCGCAGGGATGTAGAGGGGTTCATGTGGGACAGATCGCGATTGCGCTCCACATTCCCTGTGTTTGGTCTGACTTTGAGTTTGTTTCCCCCCTCCTCCCATTTTCAAAACTTCGTTTGGTTCCTTCCTCCAACTTCGCATGACAGCGAAATGGTGATGTTATCTGTGACTAAATAACAGCTGAACCCACGGGAAAACTGCATGAAGAATGTTTTCCATGGCAAGAAGGAGCGAGAAGCTCCTCTGACTGGATGCTGCACATTTTTCACTGCTGAAAACATTCTTAAGGTAACACGATGCACTTTGTTGCACAATGAGGGCTGCTGGTGGAGGGGAAGAAAAACATGAGACCATTTTCAGACTGTCCAAAAGTTTAGCACAAAAGCAGGAGGGGCTGAAGGTGGAGTTTTAAAGCACAAAACGTATCAAGAGGATGATTCTTGGCTCTTTTATCTGTGTTGGTTTCCAATGAAGGAATGTTGAATATTTAACAACAGAAGAAGAAGAGAGACTAAAGACGATAGCGGAATAGACCTCATTCGACTGGGGACCAAAATTACAACATTTGTTACATTTTCAGCTGATGTGGTTTGCTTTCACTTTGGAAAAGCCCGTTCACCTCCTCGCCTGTGGTGGCGATGCACCAAGAAAAGTTACATAATTTACACTTTAAGCAGTACATAGTAAGCCCAACAGAATGAACCTTCATAGAGGAAGATAAGCTGAAGGAAATGACAGGAACACTTCAGAAGACGACGGGAGCGCGACTTCCTTTTTCACAAAATGGAAACAAAAATGGAGTGGGATCTGATTTTAGCGGTAGTAAGATTTCTTTTTTGTCTTAGGAAAAAAGACAACAGGTGATTTCTCTCACCAACAGAGTTGCACGTTTTTTGGGGGGGCTGTATTTACCCATAATTCCCTACACTGTAGTTCACTTCCTGTTGTTGGAGCGGTCGCCGGTCTGCGGTTCTTTTCAGCCTAACTGAAGTAAACCAGCGGGCCAGAATTCACCTTTTCGGACCGAACTATAAAAAGTTTGATTACGCGTTCAGACCTCCCAAAAAAAAAAAAAAAAAAACTGACTTTCAAAGCAGACGAACTAGAGGTAGACAAAAGCGAACAAAAGTGAATGCATACTGAGGGTGCATGAATGACTGTATTATCATTTATAAAAAAAGGGGCAATGCTTTTTTTCCCTTTTCTCCCTCTTTTGTTTTTATTTTCAAAACGCTGTATTACTCACAGGGAGCATAGAACATGACCAGGGCTGCAGGATGTTCCTCCAGGAAGTTGTCAAAAGACTCATCGGTCAGGTGGAAGACCGGCGAGTCCGTCTCCGACCACGGCACCTCCGGAGTCTTTGGCTGCGGGGGCTGAGGGCTGCAACACCACGGGAAAGACGGCATGAGGAAACTGACCGGGACCCATTTTGCAAAGCAGATTAAATTCAGCTGGTCTGTATGCAGTATGAACAAAATATTTATAAGTATACATGTGTATAAAAGAGAAAAAGAAAAGAGTCAAACACAGCTGTAACCTACACTCCACCCAATATGTCAAAATACCACACACACACACAACACACACACACACACACACACACACACACACACACACCACACACACACACACACACACACACATGAACTAAGAGGCCCCACCTCAATGACAGGAGCCAGTGCTGCAGCGCCAGCATTGAGTGGACAGTGATATAAACAATATGCTCCATGAACAAGTACACAAATAAAACATAATTTTAAAAGAAAAAAAAATGTTTTTCTTCACAAACCACAGGCGGCAGTTTGAGTCAGTAAAACCACATGAGGCTGGACAGCATTTACAAACAAAAGAGAAACGTAACCAAAGCTCTCGAGTTCCACTAAGGCATCCATCTAACACTCATTTAGGTCCTCTGAGTGCTGGACAACTATTCCCCCCCATTTAAATATTTGGAGCCAAATATCAACATTTAAAGCTGTTTAATAAACAAATTTGAGTTACAAGTTTATGAAACTTGATCACAAAAGAAGTCGGAGGACAAGTTTAAGAAATTTTGCTTTTTTTATGGATAGAACTGACAAATGCAGCTGAAATATAAACTGGTATTCAGATGGGAGCTGCTTTCACTTTAATTATTCTCTAATTAAGTCAGTTTTTTAAAAAAAGAGTCTTGAGCTATTTTCAAAGGTGATGTTTGCATTAGACTCAGCATAAGGTCAAACAAGTTCTGAAACAGTCCACAATTGGGCTAGAGAAACAAAAGCAAATCCATCAAAGACTGAAAAATCAAGGAGCATTCAGCCGGGCTGAAAAGTCCAGAGGAAAAACGGTAAATTCAATGAACGAGCTCAGCTACTGAAACGAGGCTGGGCCATGAGCTGAAGAAAACTGGAAAGAAAAAAGAAAAAAGTATAGTATGCTGTGAAGAAACTCAAAGTAGTTAATTATTGGTTTAAAAGTGGAGAAATATGTTTTCTCGTACTTTTATTATTATTATTATTATTATTTGATCGCCTTCAGGCGATCGAATAATTTCTTGTATATAATTAGAAAGGAGGTTGAGTCATCAGCAGGAGCCACTTATATCTCTGAGCCTACTGAAGTGAATCTTCACCAGTGCAGAGTGAGAGTCTGCATAGAGTAGCATTATATTATGTAATGCTATCAGATTGAAACAGCAAAGTGAGAATTGCGATCCACATGTTTTGTTTGTTTGTTTGTTTTTTGACAGAACGCCTATAAAAACCTGATTAATTCCAGTTTAGTTGCAGAAAAACCTGCACCTGCTACAGTAAAAATAAAAATGAACAATTACCTGAAAATGTTGAGTTAGCATGAACTATATAGTAATATTTTCCTCCATCATAAGTAGATTTCACTTGCAATTTGTGGAAAATTAAACCTCTGCAATAGCTGACTGGCTGGACTGACTAATACCTCAGAAAGCATATCTGGTTGCCTAGAGAGGACTCAATGTACAAACTCTAGCTTTTCCATTGTGTAAAAACACAAGATTCAGGCATAATACAATCTAACAATACGCAGAAGCATTCACCATTAACATAGTTTCAATTAGGAACTACATGACTTTTGTTACTAAACTGGACTGATTTGGCCCAGTAGAAAGCAGAAAAACTGAGAAGGGACAAAAAATAAATGAGTAAAACTAAACTGCTGAATATGATGCTTTGGTTAATTAAAACTTTGGGGAAGGGAGGAGGGAATGAAAACTAGAGGTGAAAAAATAAGAGTGTTGCAAAAATCCTGTGAAGTTTATGAGTACAGTTTATATCAAACCCCCCGTTTCATCTCATCTCCTGTTTCTCAAGACAGAAAATAAAAAAAATCCTTTGAGAAGACAAACCGTGATGAGGTTTCCGAGAGGTCACATCTATTCATGTGCAAATTAATGATCTATTTTTAACAGGTGAGCTTCTGTAAAATCATCTGAAGGAATATCTTCACAGTGACAGAGGAATAATCAAAGCCTTTTGGTTAAAGTGATCAAGTATTTATCATGTAATGATAACGGGAATCCTAAACTTTTTGCATTCCACATTTTTTCAACTTGAACCTTCACATTTCTAAGACATTTTAAGATATAAAATACGCAGCAATTCTGCTTATAAATAATTATCTATCTGGAGTTAAAAAGATTAGCTAATGTACCTGTGTCACATTAGCTGTGTTTCCATTGACTTTAGAATTGCAAAATCAAAATTCCCAAAATAAATTTGCTTAACGGAAACACACCAATTAGAAAAAGATGAAATAACCCATTGTGTGAACAAATCTATTCACATGGGCTTTTAATTGCATTTCTTATTTACTGGAAACACCACAACTCTAAAATTGTGTTTTTTGGGGTTTTTTTACATTAGTAAAAAATTTGCACATTTCTAATGTCAACATAGCCACTCGGAGGATTTCCATTGATGTTAAAATTGCGCAGACAGGAATCATGACAAATATTTTTGCTAAATACAAATACAGAATTATTTAAAAATACCAGCTTTTTTTTTGTTTTTTGTGCTTTGATGAGGTGATTTTTTTTTTTTTGGCTTCATCAAAATGTGTGTATTTCGCAAAATTACATCAGAAACACTTTTTGCAACACACAAGTCACGTGATCAACCACCAGACGTTACTACAGGCGGAAATGACAAAGAATACAACAGGAAGTGGTAAAAGGATGAAGACGCCTAATGCTTTTTAATGACTTATCAGGTGAACAAACTGTGATTTTTAATTGTGCTTTTCAATTAATAGAAACACCGCGATTGCAAAATTGCATTTTTTTGACATTGGTGGAATGTTTTCCATACATTTGTCATGGAAACGTTGTTATTGTTTATGTCGTTAGCTGTAAAGCCTCACTTTGCACCGGCTGGTTGCAGCTCCATGAACACTGCTAGGTTTTCTTTCTGGACAGAGTCGAGGTCCAACAAACAGAGATTGTGAGACGAGGTGGAAAAAAAAAAAAAAAAAAAAAAAAAAAAGTGGAAAGAAGGTGTAGATTGATGACAACATGACGAGGTGTGCCAGAGGAGTCGAGGCAAGAAAAGGTGTGATGAAGAGTGCACGACAGAAAAGAAGGTGATGACAGAAAGTCAAAGAGGGAGATGGCGCCGGGCTTCGTTCAAACTCCATGGAGTCGATTCTCCCTCCGACGTTCCAATCTTGGGTTTTATTAGTTAAGTTAGTAGACCATAAAACGGCTTCTAGTGTGAACTCTACATTTTCAGCAACCTCAAGGGGACCTATTAAAAAAAAAACATGAATCATACTCACTTCTTCAGCCAATCTGCTATATCCTTTGGGGTAGCGCCGTAGTTTTCATAGTGATGAAGGAATTTCCCCTTCCTGGAAGATAAGAAGATGATCACTGATACATTTTAAGTCAGCAGCTGAATAAATTTGACCCAATTTGTAAAAAACAACAACAAAAACAGCTCACAATAAAACCCTTTTCTAATTACAGAATGAAGCTAGTTTCCACAACTCAAACTTACAGTTTATGTAAGCCCGAAAAGCTGAACATAAATCCCTACGCTAGAAGTTTGCAGTTGCAAAGTGACAAAATGTAAAGAAACTCCATAAATAGCCTAAAAATGTACAGATGGGCAGTCCACGCTTCTTATTAACCACTATGTATTAACAGCACCAAGCTATGCTGTAGCACAGATTCAGCCTAATGACTTTCTAGATGCAAAGGAGCAAAAAAAAGAAAAAAAAAAAAAGTCAGTGGTAAGCTTGCAATTTCTCCAGAGTTCCTACCAGCCCCTGAAATGTTTAACATAAGGAGAAATAATGTGCTCTTTCAGCATCCCAATGAAAAATAGTCTTGCAAGATAACTTTGAGAGTTCAGCAGTTTGATCGCTGATGCTGTGTATGTTTTGTTTTTTTTAGAGCCAGTGTCGTTCCTCAATTTGCATAAATATAAACTAAAAGCAATATGGACAAAAGATGAGATCAAGGTTTATGCTTGCCTTTCATTGTACTGTAGTTTGTATTTTAAGCTTGAAAGTGCACTGAAGTAGAGGAAATGACAATGTAAAAGATTTAAAACAAGAGTTTCTTCATTAGGCCTGCAACCAATGATTATTTTTAGTCATAATTATTGGCTACAATGGTTATGATAACAATTAGTCAGACTGTGACCTAAATGACTAAAATAATCATTCTGGTCACAATGTATGACTAAACGACTACTGACTCGAATAATTGACTGTACCTATTTTTTATTTGATGAATCAATTATTCGTCAGAATCATCTACTTTGACGAGTAATAGAATAAAAAATGTGTACATTCAGCAGATTTTTCATTTGACCTTATCTTGTGTAACATTAGAAACACATAGGAAATGACAAAACCAACTTTTCATTGCCTAGAAACAATACCAGAAAGTTATTTCAGTGAACAATCGATCACTGGTATCAAAAGATTCATCTGCAGCTAAACAACAAAATACTCCTGACAGCATGTGCAAAGCTCAATCCTTTCTGCCTGACTTATCAACATTATTTTTTTGATTATCTGATGAATATCTGGATCGCAAAACTTACAGAATTTGCACCAGATAAAGCTAAAATATGTTCAGGCTTCTTTTTAAGTGCAAAATATGTATCTTTATTGTGTACAGTTTACTACTCCTGTGCTCTTCTTTAATCAAATGCCCTTTTTTTAATCTGCATACGATCTGTAAACGATTAATTTAGTTGACGATTATTTCAATAATCGATTTGTCACGACTAACTGTTTCAGCCCTGTGATTTACAGCACAGAGAAGCAACTAAAAAGTTTCAGTTTTCCAGCCTCTCTGGCTGAATGTTGGCAGAGAAGCACGTGGACGTCACAGTCCAGCATCACAGGATCAGCGTCGGCGACTGAAGCTGCGCGAAGAGCGTTTCTGCTCACACAGGTGGTGTTGAGCTAGAGCTCCCGGGAGATAAGAGTGGACATGATGAAAGGTGATACGTGATCGCCGTCGCCTGCATTCGGAGCATTTTAGGGGAACCGACTTCCACGGGAGGAAAGTGTGGCTTCCTCGGAATTCAATCAGTGAGATTTATGACCAACTCTGTATTCCAAGGTTTTATCTCTCCAGCTGTAAAGTACAATAAAACCCCGCAAAATCATGCACAGAAAGTTTTGACATCAACCCCCCCAGCTGTCGGTCTCAGTGGCTTTTCTTTGTTGGAGTACAAAGCAAGGATAAAAGGTTGAATGTTCTGTTGTCTTTTTTTCAAAACGTCAAACTTTTTAGGTTTGGCTAAACTCTTGGGAAGTGCACTTTCTTTCGCTGCTGGGACTGAAAACATTAGAAGACCTTGAAAAAGTTGGTCTTCCTAACGGGTGCTGCGGCGAGATAACTGAAGGTGTTGATGCTGATTTACTCTGCCGTGATTAGCTGCAGTTTATCAGCGAGGAGCTCATTATTGAAGCCAGTGGACTCGGACGGTCATTAGCTAGCTCTGCTCAGACACTAATGCACTTCCATCTAACAGACTGGCTCCGGTTTGGCTGTATGCGGTGGTGGGGCAAGCGCAGGCATGCACGAAAGGAGATGCGCAGATGTACAGGAAGAGAGGAGGAGCGCACGCAATTTCTAACCACAGAGGCACTTAATCAGTCCCGGCCTAATTAAAAGGCCAGACTGGAATGAAAGAGTGTTTAATGTGGAAACGGGGATGATAAAACCGGAGAGGGGAGAAATAAGGAGCGGCGTGCGCTGGCATCCTGGAAATCGAATACTTAGAAAGTGTTTAGGATGTCTGCCATGTCAGTCCAGTGGGTTTTCTCCGACCCTCGGCTGTCCTTTTTTGTGTGTTCATTTTCCTTTGGTCTTCACTATTGAATGAAGCAAAAAATACGAAAATTGTTTAAAATATAGAGTTTTTATTTGACTTCTTTATCTCCTAAAGTTCCCTGGAAACTTGGGTATCAAACATTTTTGTAAACTCAAGAGATTTTAAAGAGGGTTATCATGTAAAATTGACTTTTTTAAAGTTTTTATCATGTTAAGATGTTATTCTCTGGAGTGTTGCTTTAATTCTTTCATCCATGTTAAATTCTTGAATTTCCCATGGTAACCTTTCATTTATCACCTATTTTCACAAACCTCTATATGTGCCAACCTTTAGTGATGTTAGAAGAAGTACTGCTTCAACTTGTTTTTACTCAAGTATAAGTAAAAAGTAACAATTCAAGAAATTATTCAAGTAAGAGTAAAAAGTTATTTGATAAAATGTCTTCTCAAGTACTGAGTAACTGATCACATTATCCATTATTTAACATTCAAAACTTACATCATCATATAGACTAAAATGTACAGCTAAGTGGAAAATTTGGTACTTTAAGGACATAATATATATAAGTAACAAAGAATAAAGGCAGGCAAAAGAAAACTTTTCCAAATGTTTCTTTCAGTAGAAAACTTATTAAACTTCGACCAAAAACTGCAGATGTGCGTTTTTGTGTGGTGAATTGTTGGTAAAAACATGTTTGTTCTTTATCCAGTGGGTAGAAAATTCAGAAATTTTACTCAAGAGTAGAAATACTTCACAATAAAATTATTCAAATTGAAGTAAGAAGTACGATGTAATAAAAATGACTCTTAACAAAACTTTGTTTTTCAAAAACAGCCACTCAAAGTAGATTTAATCGAGTAAATGTAACTAGTTACTACCCAAGAAAAGGTGCAAAAATGATTTCATCAAAAGAAGCCCAGTGTTTCTAAAAATGAAAGCTTCACCTGTACTCAGTGTGAAGTAAAAAACACTTGAAGTGTTTTCAGGTTTACGTCTTGTCACCTTCGTCCCCGCATGTGTCCAACAGGTTATGTTTTCTGTTTGAAGTGGCCTCGAAAGCGAGCGGCCGAGCCTCAAGATGAGACTTAACGAGGTGGATGACTCAACTTACTCAAAGTAGCAGAAGGTCGGGTAGCCTTTGACGTTGTACTCCTGCTTAAGGCCGTCAAACTCGGCCGGGTGAACATTCATCCCTGCCAGCACCTTTAGAACAAATCAGAGAGAGCGAGAGAAAAGTTGTCAGAGACGGGATAAAAAGTGACGGCGGAGGCTAAGGAGGAAAGGACATCAAAGCAGGTTCGCCACCGCAGAGAGCTAAAAGACGATGAAGAGTTTAAACGGGAAGAGAACATTAAAAGAGACGTCTCGTAGATGTTTTGGAGCAGAATAATGGAGAGAAAAAAAGCTCAGAAGTTGAGGATCAATCAGAGGTTTCAAAACTTTTGAGGTTGTTCAGGAAAAAGAATAGTGACTTTTTTTAACAGCGTTATTAGTATATATATATATGTCAAGGTGATTTTGAAAGAGAGCGTCTTTTACTGTAGCAGAGGGATTATCTAAGGTTCACCTGAAAGCTTAAAAAACGTCCAACCAATACTCCAAAGCGATCTGTGAAAACAACCAACGCTTCTGCAGAAGCTCAAAGCAAATATTGCACTAAACTGTAAAATGCTTATGATTAGCTGAAGAGAAAACCTAAATCTCAGGGTTATGCCAAACTCTTCGTCTCCTGCGCCAGGAAACGTGATGAAAGCACCGCCAAAGTAAACCTAATTACTGGAAATAAAACAACTTCCCCGCAGTATTTTTTGAGTTTCTCCCTTCTCTTTTCAGTGAGGCTTAATGAAACACATCAGATGCTGCGTGCACACTCTCCCTCATCCTTGACTGGGACGGGAAATGGATTATACAACTCCGTTAAGCTCCCACGCATCGTTCACTTCAAAGCAACACGGGAGGCGGCGACTGTGGCACTCTGAGAATCGGCAGAGCGTCCAGAAAGTATTCGCAGCGCTTCGCTTTCTAGACGACGTGCCGCGCTACAGCCTCACTCTTCTTTCCTCCAAATTTTGCACACAGAATGTGGGATACTTGCTTGTTTGTTTTTGGAACTAACTAAAACTAAAATACCCAAAAAAAAAAACAAAGAAAAAAAAGAAATCACATTTATATGAGTACTCACAGCCTTTTTTCAATATAGAGTGATTCTGAATCCTTTGACATCTTAGCTGTAAGATGTGTCGTTTACATTTATGTTTACTGTAATCTCCATTAGCATCAGTATTGTGCTACATCAGATATTCTTCAAGCTGGGGTCTATTTGCATAAAAAAGACAATTTACAGTTACAAAAAAAAATTATGTTACAAATGAAATATTAAAATACCACATTTTCATTTTATGTCACTTGTAAAGTAAAACAATGTTTAGTTCAAGATGGGGAAATATTTTAGATTTCCCTTTATGTAATAAAGGCAGAGACTAAACACAAGTAAATAGGTTAAAGTCACATTTTATCTTTATAGATCTCGTAAAGACAAACTGAATGGACTTTAGTCAGAGTAACTGCAGATAAAGGTAGGTGCGAGCTGAAAACACAGTCAATAAATTCTGCATCTGCAAGCGCTGCCTTGCAAAGAGTAACGCTAGCTGTTTGGTGAGGTGCTACGATCGCAAACTTTAATAGCTTTTATTGAGATTTCATGGGATAGATCAACACAAAAGAGCATGAGGGTGTGGAGCATGGAACATGAACAGTGTGTTTTTGGGGTTTTTTTATCTGAAAAGAACAGCATACATCTGTAAACCAGATGCAAAGTTGATGCATTTTAGAAAACCTGTTGCTGCTGCTGCAGCTTTTGGGTTCTGTCTGAACCCAAAAGACAGACAGACAGACCAAAATTTTTGTCCAATCTTTTTAACTCAAGAGCAGTGAGCCTGGATGAACATAAACTTCTAAACCTGGTTACAGATCGAGACCTGCACTTTGACTGGGTCATTCTAAGACATGTATATGCCTTATCGAAGTTATTTCACTGTAACTCTGGCTGCGTGTTTTGGGTTGTTCTCCTGGTATCAAGTGAATTTGCAACCAGTTTCTCACATCATGATACTGCCACCACTGTGTTCAGCTGTGGAAAAACACGCAGAGTGCTGAGCTGCGTAAAAGTTTTCCACCATAGAGTGCTTGGACTTTGACGAAGGCGTCATAACAGCCACAGATGGACAACACACTTGCATGCTTTTCAGCATTTCATTTGTGTAAAGTTTCTACTAAACTTTGCCTGATTTTCCTTTTGCTTATTATCGAGTGCTCCTTTGTGCTGGTCCATCATATAACCCCAATAAAATACAGTGAAGTTTGTAAGCTGCATGGTGACAAAATGTAAAAAATCTCAAAGAAGAAATTAAAAACAAGACAAAAACAAAAAATATTAAAAACATGTCTGACAAACCTTTGAATAGATCTTTGTGCTAAAACTCAGATCAAATGTAAATCAGGTACAGTCTTACAATTTCATGTGAAAGTAATATTGGTTATTAAAAATTAAAACCTACAGGTCATATTTAATAGCGTCTTAAATAAAATCAAAAAAGTCTCTTATTTAAGACCGGCAGGCGGTCTGAACTACTTTAAAAAGTTTCACACTTTCTTAATCTGCAGAAAAACTGAAGGAATGGGATTTACTTGTGGAGACTTGCTGCAATAACACAACGGACAGGCGGCACTCTTACATATTTGCCTTTTGTTTCTGTGGCCGCCTGCTGGAAAACAGGCTGCATCCTCTTGCAAACGCCGCACCCTGCAGATGGAACAAAAACACGGGTCAAAACCAAGAGACAATCTTACAAAATCATTAATCTGGAAAGTTTAGACGTTTTCATGTCTAAACAATGTGTCAGAATATTGTGTGTAGTTAACATGGCGTCTTTAGTAATGGTATGGCATCATCACCTCTGAAATGTCAGCTTAAAGTTTGATATTTTCATCTTTCTTAAAATGCACCATAAAGTATATATATATATATAAAGAGAGATTGATTTACAGCAGTGACAGCTATGTTTGTTATTTTAAAGTTTTTAACAAACCTATTTCACATGAGCTAACAGATGTGGCCTGCGCTCTACCTTAAAATATGAATGCTGACCATTCGAACTGTTGAAGGAGCTTAGAAAAAAAATGTGTTGGTTCTGGGAAGAATGCCGACAATCCTGCTGTTTCTATGTGAACTAATATTCTTGAAGCAATAACACCCCTCTCATTATGAGCTGAATTTAAAAAGGTTGATGGAGAACTCCAGGGTTGAATTTAGAAGAAAAGATGAAATTCAGAAAACTTTTTAATTCACTTTAAGTCTTCTCTCCAGGTGAGAACCGAGGCATTTTGTTTTTTACTGGCAGACGGTCAACATATTTAACAAAATGAACATCGGTAAATGTGAACGTCTGACTGTAAAGCGGTGACTCACAGGGGGCGTAGAACATAATGAGGACCGGTCTTTCCTCTTTCTTCAACAGCTTTCTGAAGTCCTGAGAAAAAAAAAAAGGAAAATAGGAAGACGGAGCAGAGATGGCATAATTTCCCTGGCTGAATTACAATATGCAACACTGTCAGGTAACACCCTTTGGTATGGGAGTTGTGACTGACTGAAGAGGGCTGACTATTATAAACACCAGAGAGAAGTTTATAAATGAAGCACTTATAGGTTTTGCAAACGTTATCAGCATTTTATAGTTATAGGCATTTTAGCATCTCACCTGATGCTACCATGTTTTATCCAAGCATGTTTTATCGTGTTTAATGTGATTTGTTGTTTCAGTCTTTTTACATTGATTTGCACATTTCTGCAATCCTGCCATTTCATTCCAGTAGAGTTGGCTCGTCGAAGACTATGGTTTCAGTCAAGCTAACTACAAGCTTAACATGCTAAAAACAGTTTGAAATCACCTGCGCTCACTTTCAAACTCACCGATAACCACTCAAGACAGGAAGCGTTAAAGCAGTGACAACAAAAATATTTGCTTTTAATATATCTTTTATTTTAGTTTATTTGTATAGTGCATTTCGGCAAGTTCAAAGTGCTTTACGTCACTCACACACAAAAATCAACAACTGAATCAACAATTTCCAAGATGCCATTTTTACACATCAAAATGTTGGTCAGTGTTTCATTTATTAAAAGCAACTCCAAACAGGTGGGTTTTTCGTCTAGATTTTAAGGGAACTCAGTTTCACAATTTTCCAGAAGTTTGTTGCAGATTTGTTGAGCATAGCAGCTTATTGGTGGAATATTTTTGGTCCTATAATTGTCATCACAAACTGGCCACACGATGTTAATTGGTGCGTCTGTACAATAGGCTTATTAAAAAAAAATTTGTGAACATTTCAATAAATTTGATAAAAACAAATGTGAAAAAAAAATGTCTTTTGACATATCCCTGACACAGTGAAAGGTTTTGGATTTTTAGACTGAAGATGCATGAGCCCTCATAATAGTTCCCTCTCCTCATAATCACCATCATGACCTCAGCAACTTCCAGAACGCCACATTCAGCACAATCTCCAGTTGACATCTTCAAGAAGCCCCACAGCGGGAAACTGGAGCAAACTGTCAGGCTTGCTGCTCATTAAATTAAAGGCCTTTCAGCACGCTGCATTCACTGCGGCTGCGAGTTGACGGGCTGCGCGCGATAACGCTCTGAAGGGTTTTGATGGCGGCCCTCGTCAGATTGGGCAGGATGAGAGCTGCGTGGAAATGTTTCGGTTGGGGACACAAAGACCGACATCTGACACGGGTGGAAACAACGTTCCACTGGCTTCTAACGCAAAAACTCGCCATAACTTTTGTCAACTCGACAGGAGAGGATCCTGCTCAGCAGGAGTCCTGTGATAACAGCAGCTGAAAACCAGCGTTCAACAACGCAGCAGATGCTGCCTTAGAATTTTAAAAGCCTACCCAAAAACTTCAAAAGGTTCGTCAAGGTCATTACTTACTTTCTCCGTTTCGACATGGACCACGTCTTTTGCTTCGGGGTTCTCTTCCCACAGCGGGGGTCCCGACGGGTCCTTTAAAAATGCTACCATAGACTGGAGGAGTGGAGAAAAAAACAAAACAACAACAAAAAGTCAGAATGTGTCAAAACAATGGCTGCACCACAAACAAAACCGTGCTGTGGACAACAATGTAATTTGTGTCAAAGCTGTAATAGTTGCTCCTAATTTGAATTCAAGGAAGTGAAACGGGATCTTTAGTGCTCAACACCTTCCTGTTTGCAAGGCTGCAAGAAATATGTCATTCAGCAGCATAGGGCTGGAGTATTTAAATCACGTATCGGCTAGTAACTATTCACATTTCTTAAAGTTTCTGACATTCTGTCTTGTTACAGCTATTATATTCCATCGGGATTTTTTCTTATTTCTTTTTTGTGACAGTCCGGCATAAATTAGCACTAACCTGAAGAGGAAGAAGAATGACACAGTTTTCAACTTTTTTTTTTTTTTTGCTATAAACTGAAAAGTGTCACAGCCTTTTGTGTTCTGCACATCCTGTCCCAATAGTTTGTGGAGGGAAAAAGCCTCAAACTTAATTTAGAACTGTAAATCTTTTGGGGAATGTCTCTATTGGATTTTCACATCTGAAGATTGATTTCTTTTTTTCACCCTACTTCTTTCTACAAAAACTTCAACTCAGTCAGATTGGATGGAGGGTGTGAATCCATCCAATCTTTTTTTTTTTGTGTCATTCTAGGTTTGGGCTTTGACTGACTAAGCATGAAATGATTAATCAGGTTAATCACAAGGATCAATTATTGAAATAATACAGATTTCAAAAGGCAACTTTCAACTTTGTAAAACAAACAAACAAAAAAAAAACAAAAACAAAAAAAAAACTTCAAATGACCAATTATTTTTTTTGTTTGTTTTACTTTTGTAAATGTTTTACCCAAAACTCCTAAAGTGGCAGTCTTATCTTCACCTGGTTCAAAATTATATATTTTTTATTTTTTTTAACACATATCCGCTTAACTGCTGCAAGTTTTGCATAGATGCACACAAAATTATACTGAAACGCTAGAATGAGTGTTATCAGTGCATCAATAAGATAAATATAAAACATCACCCATTAAATATTCTACAAAAACAAACTAAGCACAGGAAGTGGGTGTAGAAAATAACAAAGCCAAGTCATCATTAGCAACATGCAGCAAATCTAATATGCGAAAAAGCCCAACCTTAAATGTAGCAGGTCTGTTGTACTCTGTGTGGAATGTCCCATCTCTGGAAAATAAAAACAACAACAAAAACACACAAAAGGCACAATGCACACCGTCCCAGAAGTCAGTGGTGAGTGATGCATTTTCTTTAGCTGTAAAAGTGACATTACTTTCCAAAATGCACTGAGGTGTGAAGAGAGTGTGTGACGTCCAGCTGAGCGTCTGGTGACTCACTTGTAATGCAGCAGCTCCGCTCCCTCGCGTCTGGAGCTCGGGTCCACCTTCACTTTTTTACAGAGTTTGCGACCCTCTGAATCACTGGAAGACATCGACATGTGGACATGAATAAAAAAGTGTTTTAAAATAAGACGTTTTAAAATGTTAACTTTGCAAACAGACAAAAACAAAAAGCTTTAAAATTTGAGTAATTGCTCTGTTGCTCTATAATTCGACCCATTGCACAGTTCCTCTATATTTAACCTCAATGAGAGTCCAACGTTACATTATTTTTTAAATTCTCGTCATTTATTTAGTCTCTTTTTACCCATAAATATTAAAACTTGGTAATTTCCCATTTAAAGTCAGTTAGAATTACCAAAATGATCTCTTATCATGTCATTACAGAGAGAGGAAAGACTTTTCTGTGGCGATTACATAAAATAAATGAAAAGAAAAAGCAGCTTGGAAAACTGAAATACCTAACCGCAATGGTAAAGGCTGAGTTACAGCCGCATTTTTTAAAGACTAGCTTCAGTGACATGGTACTTAGCAAACCGGCCAGTCCAGGAGCACTGTTTATTTTCCTTGGTGCTTTTTGACTGCAGCCTTTGGAGAGGAAATAAAGAACGCTGCACATATTGGCTTCTGTAGTAGTGCTGAGCCAGTTTGATTGCGTGTATAAATGTATATTAAGGTACATTTGGAGTGGGAACTAACAAAGTCCTAAGCATTATTAGAGGGGCTAGTTCTTTTTGTGTGTCTGTGGTTCCTAACCCACACGAATACCACCGTAGTCTCAAAAGAAAAGGAAAAACAAACTTGATTTTGGCATTGAGAAATAAATTTGACCTAAAACAGAAAAACTTTAGTCTCATTTAATATCAGATGGTAAGAAAAATGTCTTGAGTATTTATATACATAAAAATATATCACTTCAACTGTGCGTATATATATCAATTAATATTTATGACATATATAACAAAAGTACTCTTCATTAAAGTTTAATCTGCTATTTGATATGCAGTAAACAACTTTCCTAACCCAACATATGAAAACTGAGCTAAAGCATTCAGTGAATAAACATCGTTAGCAATGTTCTTCTCACCAGCATCAAAACATTCAACGAGACTCACATCCGTAACTGGATTGGAATTGAAAATGCATCTAACAGCCTACAAGTACTTCACACTCGCTATAGTATAACCGCGTTAGCAGGAAACACAACCCTCCTCTTCCTCCATGACTGGAAATATGAACGGATGGAGCTTTTGGAAACGATAAGTTGTCGGCGACCAATTTTAGAAAGGAAGAACTCAGCTGTAGCCACCGTGCCCGCCACCACACAATCACAGCATCAGCTCTGTGTTTCGCGTTAAGATTGAATCTGTGTGGCTGCATACAGCCAGGCGGTAGTTCAGATGAGGAGCGTGTGAAGAACGGGATGCAACAGGACTGACTGGTGGCAGATGGCAGCAGTAAGGGCACAACAGGAGCAGATGTAACCCCTGACACGTCCCGCGTTTGGAGATGACGTGTAGTCACCTGATTCAAGATCAGTCTGCTGCTTCCAACAGCTTGAAAAACTGCCACGTGAGGGAAGCCATTCAGAAATGTCTCTCGGCGGGGCCATTTTTATACAGGTGACCTTGAGGGAGCAGGGGATGACAAAAAAAACAACAAACAAAACAAAAAAGAAAACGCTCTCAAAACTGTATCCATTTTATTCCGTATCGTTTGTTGCCCGTTAGACCACATAAGTCATGAAAATAAAATTACTTCTGAAACGGAATCAGGGGAAAAGAATCACTTTCGAAACTCTTCGAACAATTTTGAGGCAGCGATGCAAATCTGTCAGCTCCACCGTAGCCTGGGGACTTCTGAATATGAGATACGAAACCAAGACTTCTCGTTCCCTCTAACTGTGGTATGCTGAATGCAGAGAGTTTGTGAGGCAAATAAAAAAAGAAGAAATGTTACATCACTGACAGAAAATAGCCCAAGGTTTAAACATATTTTAACAAATGTCTTCTTACTTTGGTCTCTGACTTACACTGATTTCTTGCTTGGTAACATTACTGAAACACACAACCGCGGGTGAAAAAGTAGTTCACTGTCACCAGATTATATTAAACTTTTCAAAGTGACACTTTTTTTAAAATGCACTATTTTTTTTTAAATCGACTCAGGTGGGTGAAAACGTCTAGAACATGCTGGGATCGCTAGTCTCTTTACATTAAGACTTGCTTAGAATTATTTACACAACAAAATGTGCCCCATTTGAAAGAAATTACCTCCGTGTGTGAAGCCAGTCAATAATTTCCACCACATTTCTTACTTTTCTAATATAGAAGACCGCTGCCTGTTTGTGGAGTCACCATCGTGGGGAACACAACTTCAAATTATACACTGAGAATCTGCCAATATGTCGATTTCTCTTCATTAAATATTCAAAAGGAAACGCAGCTTGCAAATATTAGATGTTTTGGCAGAATATTACTTGACATGCTATTGTTGTTGTCTTTTGAACAACCAGGCAATTCAGGAGCACCATTTATTTCCTTTGGTATTGATTGGATGAACCCCATGAAGTCTGTAGATGTTAACTTATGTGTTAGTGCAAAGATATGGGTACTAGTCAGTTTTAGCATATATTTGGTCTATGAACTATTATAGTAGGGAGTTTACAAATCTTTAGAGGGAATATCAAGGAGCATCAGTGGTTGATACCAAAATCCAAGAGCCACTAAATGCAGCCCAAGAACTATCAGTGCCTCATGTACCGTGGTTTGAGATCCATACTCTTAGACACTGTTGCAGATGGTCCTTAAAATAAAACTTATGTTTGACAGTAAATTGTAAAACTTCATATTATCTGGTCTAGAACCTAGAAAATGATTAAAACATGAGTAGATGTAGAACAAACTGACCCAGAGAAGAATTTTAACATTTTCTGAGCTGCAGTATTTGAATAAAACATCAGCAGATCCTCTGAAACCAGCATCAACCAGGTACAGAACATACAGTACCTGCTTATCATTAAACGTAGCGTTGCTGCTCTACAAGTGACTCAAAGTGGGGGGGAAAAAAACAACGTATTACAACGTTGGTGGACTGCTGTCCAAACCAATCAGATGAGAAAAAAAGTGAGTAAAACAGAAGAACAGAAACGTTATGGTGACCCAACCAGCTGATGTTCGTTCAGCACAACAAAAACAGTGTGACAATTTTAGCAACTTGTTGCCCAATGAATGTGTGCAGTCATTTACCATTCATCTCTGGAATAACAGCAATCCATGCATCAGTGGTCAAACACTGAGCTGAGCAGGAAGCCTGGGAATGGTGACTCATTTTAATGGATGTTAGTCACTATTGTGGGACAATAAAAGGTATTTCTGTTTTGTTCTGCTCTGAGTAAAGCATTTTCCAACGTTGGTTTAGGCAGCATCACATGTTGGTCAGCGATTTTGTGGAGATGACTGAGTGAAGGTGAGGAAGCAGAAGATTATTGCCCTGTTTTGTGTGTGTTTTTAATTTATTAATCCCAGATGTAAAATCCATATTTTAGTACAGCATGTCCAGAAAACAAACAAAAACATCAAACAGGGAGGCATCTGTCTACCTTTGTAGATGGGTGCCTGAAGCTATTAATAAAAATATGAATTTTTCTTCATAAAAGCAGAACTCATCAAGAAAATACTCAACGTGTCATTAGAAAAACCGCCTTTCTAATCTGATTTTAAATATTTTTCCAAATTCGTTTCCTGTCAGGATTGGTAACATGTTCAATTGATTGATTGATGGATTGAAAAAGTGATGGGCGAGAGAACGGGAAACGAGACAGATGAATAGATCACTCATATAAATATTATTGGAGTCACCAAAGATCAGGAATGACATTTGAATTGCTTTTGAAGTGAAATGTCAAAATGTAAATTCAAACCAGAAATAGTTCAGAGAATGGTAAAAGCGAAAGACGTATGATTTCTTGGTCTTTCCTGAATGAAAATTTTTTTTGCTGGTAATAACACGATAAGACGTCTAATTAGCATTTCTGGGTCACTTGTATGGCATGCAGAAAGGAAGAAATGACAAAATTTACAAAAACAAAAAGTCCCCATTATGAAGGCTTGACATCCAGCAGTATTCAAAAAGTTACATTTGGATCCCAAATCTTCATTTTGTTCCGCTCTACTGTTCCCAGCGCGACAGCCAAAACTCGTATATCCTTCTGTGTTCTTTGCTCTCTTCCAAAATTCCAGAGGAATGGGAAAGGGGCAGCCCGGCCCTCCATTTCCTTCCTGTGTGAGATCATCCATCCCTCTGGTGGAACCCGGTTGGCCAACACTCAGGTCGCTGTCATCTGTTCAAAGTGTGTCATTCTGGCCTCGGTGGCCGTCCTCCTTGGCAGTGCCAGCAGTTCTCACGCTGCGAGACGCTCTTTCCTCTCCTTCTCCCTCTGTCCGCCATGAGCCCTCAGCTGGGGCTTTGATTCGGAGCCAGCCCGTTTGAGATGATGGAGAATTACGCCAACTAGTACAATGCTCAGCTAGAGAGCCCTGGCATTGGGTCTGCGTGTCCTACAGTGATAAACCCGGTTAACTCTTAACTCCCCCGGCGGGTGTCTGGGACGGAAAAAAATTCTGCTTAGCATTAGCACTCGGTTTAATGTTCTAAAGTTGGAGAGGGTAAAAGAGTAAAGAAGAGAGAGCGAGGCAGAAAGTATGCACTAAAGATGGACATGCATCACAGAGCGCCTTTGCACTGAAACACGGACACCGGCACCTCTGACAGGTCCTTCAAAGTATTTCTGAATTTGGCTCTTTCTGCCGTCCGCCTCGTCTTCGGTTTCGGACAAGCTTGAGAGAGATTGTGAATGCTGGAATGAGCTCCAGGTGTCGAAGGGGACTTACTCCCTTCCTCGTTGTTTCTGGTGTTATTATACATTCTGTTCTCTCTGCTGAGAAGCAGAGTTCATGCAGTTGATGGGTTGACAGGTATGAAAAAGAAGATGGTGAAACTGAGCATCAGAAGGGCAGAAAGAAGAAGAACAATAAAAAAAGAAAAGCGTCAAAAAGTCAGATCAGTGGGGAGCAAAGTAAGACGTAGCTTAGAGGAAACTATTCTCGTCTTTGTTTAGCACTTTAGATTTCGACTGTGAGGTTTGAAACAGGTTTATGACACCTGAAAATCAAAACTAACATTGAAACAAGGATCTTATCCTAGCCGAGATGCTCGGTTTTGTTCAAAATTCAATCATCTGAACCATATGAAAGGAAATTAGTTGGTTTTAGAGGTGCGCCCATTTATTGATGCGGATTTCCCTCATTTCAGGAGATCAGTGGTCGGCCTATACTTACGCTTGAAGCAGATCTAATCTATCTCAGCAAAGATTCAGGAATACACCTATCCATGTTTTTTTTGTTTTTTTTTCCACTTTCGATACCGATATCTGATGTTTGGTATCGGCTGATACCAATCCACATAGGGTGGGTGACATTGAGTTCAAATTTTATGATGATATTTTGTGGTTCTACTGTGATAATAAAAGTCAGAACTACTTGTTATTTCTGTTTTAGGCAAGTATATGGCTGTGATTGTATGACTGCGTTCATACAGTCACATTAGCATGCAGCCACAAAAATAAGTATCGCTCTTGGAATAAACAAAAAAAATTATTTGTAATACGTCTCTTTCAAACACCAGTCATATAAAGAAGTGCAATTCGTATCCCTAAGTAGCACACAGTAAATAAATTCAATCATATTTACAAATTTCACTGATATTTATTGATGCTCTCTTTGAACAAACTGTGGAAAATCCCAACAGCACAGACTGTTATGTGTCTTTTAGGCACTAACTGGAATTTATCAGAACAATAAATCAATTCTTATCACGAAAAGAAATTTGTCATGATAAATGATACGTTTAATGCCCACACCCACGTTTCAACAGAAGCTGCTTTAAAGCAATATATTTTCAGAAAATAGGAGACACTCTGTAAATCTTAAAAACAATGCTGAAGTACTGTAGCTTGTGTGGCAGCGACCATGTTAGAGAAACATTAGGTATGATTTGTGTTTTAATTCTTTTTAAGATGGTGTATGGCTAACAAAAAAACTTATCAAAAGCATTAAAACAAGTACTGCATTAGACCCAGAGCTTCATCTGCTCTATTAAGGTCAAGTGGGCCTTCTGATTGGCCCTTTACAATAGGAACTGTGGAGAAGAGTCATTTACCCCTCAGTAAATTATGAATTATGACAGAAACTACTTTTTAAGAGTTGGTCAAAGAGAGTGAACGTGTGAAAAGAGCATGGAATTAAGAAAGAAAAAAGAAACAAAGAGATTTAGTCCAATCATCCAATTACTTACCCACAGTTGACCCACGCAATGGTCCCCTGGCCCTTCACTGTTTGGGCAACGTCAGACAACAGTTTCAGATAGAAGTCCCCCGATGTAGCTGTGGACAGAGAATAAAATGATCAGCCTCATTACCCAAACAGTTTTACATTCCAGACAAAACGCAGATAACGCCGTCAACTCGGACAAAGAGACTATGGCTTGGATTACAGCCGGGGGGAGGATCGGCGTTTCACTGAAGCACAAAGGTGAGAAAGAAAGAGCTCACTGGGTTTGGGTTGGAGCGACGATGGAAGAGGATTCATGAGACGGGTCGAACACAAGCGGCTCGAATTACGTCTGCTTTCATCACCGGACAATAGCATCAATGTGCGGAAGACGGAAAGATTATGCTCGGGCACAAAAGGGTGGAAATGGGACGACTTTTTGGGGTTACGAGGATGAAAAACAGGCAGGTTTCTAGGAGCTATACATCTCAGCAGGTATATTACCAGATGTTCTGAATGTTTTGTATTAACTCAATCAAAGCAGCCCGCTGGAGACTTGCTAAGTCTCCTATGTCAGAGATAAAATTAAAAAAAAACAACAACCAAGGTGTACATTTTGCTTTCCGTGATAGAAAAAAAAGAGATATAATACGCACTGCATTTTATCAGACCTTTATCAGTTATGGCAAGCAAAGTGGATTCCTCTGAGCAAAGCAAGCAAAGACATATTCCACTCCTTAATGCAATTCATCATTTTTATCCTCCCACTGAAAGCAGCGCGTTTTGTTTAGAGTGTGAACCGAATGTGTTGTTGGAACGGTCCAGATCTGGGCTGCTTTTAAATGCAGAGACACCATCAGCGTTCATTAGGGCAGCACCCTTAAAGATGACACCAAAACCAAATGAATTCATTATCAGTTTATGACCCTGTTGAGTCCAAGAGGTCTGGATATGCTGACTGGCTTTAAACCCCGACTATAATGGACAATAAAATCGGAGCAGCAATGTGACATTAATGTTTGAGTTGTATATTTACTCTTTTTCAAGTAAAGGTAAAGTTCAAAGTTATGTACTAGTTTTTGTTCGTCTGTCATAAAATTCCAATAAAACACTTTTTGTGATTGTGAACTAACAGAATATGAAAAATTCAAAGGGTGTGAAGACTTTTGGAAGTTACCACACATACTCTTGAATGATTGTTTTCATTGTAATCCATGCATGAATTCGGGAAATATTTCAAAGCGAACACCAAAACAACGAATTCTTGCAATGATCAAGTCAATGATCAAACATTAAAGAAATGACAATAATAATATTGATAATGCTTGTTAATCCTTCGCTCCAGGTGAACAGTGTGGGTGTGGTACTTTCTCTCTTCAGCCTCATATTACTTATATCACCTGCATATTTTCACTTTTGTAACAATGACCAACTTCATCCCATCCTTTCTCGTCATGCTGCTGCCATCTTTGGTGAAAGCACGTTTAGGTTTCCAGAGGGTAAAGCATCTAAAGTTTGAGCAGATTTCAAGTTGGCTGACGATGAACTGAAATTTTGCACAATGTATAATGTACAGCTGAGGAGGCGAAACCCAGGGATTAATTATGAGCAGACATAAAAGCAATAAAGCCACTTAAAAATGTTCTTAAACCTGCCAAATGTACTCTGTGAAATTAGCCACTGAGCTACGTTTACCATAGACTTAACGTCTGAGGAAACGTTTAGTCCCATATTCTGTTAATTAGCGCACAAATTCTGTTAATCAGCAGACCTCATGCAGCTGATGGGAATGAATATTACTTATGTTATAATTTCATTTCATAGATGATAATAAACTCAACGACTCAAATTTCAACTCATAAAACAGAACATTAACACATTATGGTTTCTATTGTATTTTTAAGAAACAAACTCACTTTTTCCAGAAGTTTAACTGATGAGGATTTCAAATTAGCTCTATTTTTGTTTCATTGCAGTTAAATATTGTCCACACCTTTTCTTTTATAACTCACATGATAATGGATTCTTTTGATTTTATTTATCATGCCAGAGATAGAAGGATGGGAAATTCTCTGCATTTTGTGTTTGTATTTGTAGCATGTAATAAGAAAAAAAGTTGATATTTAATAATATAATTAAATAAGGATCTTTTTTTATTTTTGAAGGGAACAGTTGCCACACATTTTTGGATTAGCTAAGAATAACTACTAGCTTACAATGGTGAATTGGGGCTGGTGTAGATAGAAAAATTAAAATGAATCAATTTCCACAAAACATCTTAGAAATCTTGGAATTAATTAAAAGATTTTCTGGAAAAAACAAAACCATTTCTCCAATAAAAAACTGGAAATTTGTGTAAGAAACCTTCCAAACTTTTTTTAATTAATCTGAATTTTTCTTGGGGAAAAAAAGTGGATTTTTTTCAGTTTGAAAATTGCAAGAAACAGCTCTGTAATTTTCTGGCAAACAAGTAATTTTCAGTTTTGGATTTCGAAACTCGTCAACTTTTGTAATTCAGAAAATATGTTAAAGTCGCAATCTTTTTCTTTTTTTTTTTTAACTAGTGGCAATCTTAGTCTTTACGTGTGCTGATCTCATCATAGTTGGGATGAGGACTTGCAGTGAAATAATGCCCACGACTCTGTAACGTCACTGAGACTTTAAGTTAAGAACTAGCTGCTTCTTGTCCTGATAACTGAAAATCTTAACTTGATCAGAGGCAAAAGCCTGTGGAAATCTGGTCAGGCTGGTAGTTTTTCACAGCAGGGCCATCGTACTTTAAATTTCGTCATTAAAACTTTTTTAAGGTACAACTGTGCTGTCAGCCATAGCCAGATCTTTTGAAGATGACTGCTGCCCACTGATTTCCCATGAAAACATAAAAGTTGATTTAACCTCCCAGTTCATTAAATTACATTTTAAACAGTTTTTTTGCTCTTGCTTCAGAAGAATAAATCCCCTACGACCACATGATAATAAAGTTAGCATCCAATTTATTGCTTCCGATTTGGCTGCTGAATAAAAGTCTATTTACGGCACTGTGGAGTAAATGCCAGAGTCTGACCAGTCCATCAATTCCCAATTATTTAAGTAATGAGGTCAACTTTTAAATCAAATGCAGATCAGAAAGTATGGAAATCTGAGGCCAAATCCAGCAGCATCACGATTCATAAAGAGAGTTATGAGCAGATACAGTTGCTGTTCAGTTGCTCAGTCTCGCTAGGTAACCCAACCATGTCTGCACCAGTAATTACTATTAATGCAGAAAATCTCAGAGAGAAAAATGAAAACCCCCATCAGCTGCCAGAAAGAGAATCTGTTCAAATAAATAATTTTGTCTGTTTACTGTATAGAAATTGATATGTTCTCCCAGACCTTGCTGATGTGAAGGCATGTCGCATGGTTATGGTTGTAAACACGCGTTGAACCCAAACCAATGAAAGATGTCAGACTGCATCCATTGATCGAGTAGCTGCACTGGAAAACCTGTCAGCCGAACAAACTTAAGGATTCAGAGTGGGCAGCTGTTGTTTCTGACCTGTCTTAGTGTAGAGCACCAGGACATTGGTTCTTGTCCTGAGCAGCTTCTTGAAGTCTTTGTGGTCACCGACCTTCTCTATGAGAGGAGACACCTTCACAGCTGCCAGCGACGACGACAGCATCAGCATCTGCGGAAGCACACACAAACACACAACTGGTTGTTAAATGTTATTCTCGCTGAAGGAAAAATGTCCAGAACCCGAAAAGGTACAATTTTTACTATTTCCTCCTACGCTTGAACACAACGTCAACATTTTGAGCATTCAGTCAGACAGGAATCGATGCCCGAATTCATATTTCTTAGGGAAGTGGCGACACCCTTCGACAAGTAGGAATTTTCCATTAGATGTTAGAAAGTACTTGAAAAGTAAAGTGTACTTTCTACAAGCGGAACTATGTCTGTGTTTGATCGAGCTATGAGAGGAAGTTCAAACATATCACAGTAAAGAAGATGTGGTTTGTCTGCTGCTTTTTGGAAATCTCAGATTTCAGGTGAGGATCTGCTTTCACTGAGAAAAGCGCACAGAAACCGCTCATTTATGACATTAAAAAAGTGTTTTCTCATGGTAACCATGGCTTCAAAAAAATAATTGCAAAGAAAAAACAAATAAGAACATGCATGAATTTCTTCCAAAAAAAACTCTTTTCTTTGATGTCGAAAAACCATAAAACTGAGGGAGAAAAAAAACTTCCCAGGAATAAAGGCAGATATTTAGGATATTAAAACAAGGACATTCCCTGACATGGTAAATTCAGAAATTTGTAAGACAAAGTTCCATCAGAGAAAGAAAAAAAAAACTTTTAAGAAGTTCTTTGACATTATAAAAGTCAGACATTTGTACGGTGGCCCTGAAGTGCAAAGCGCTACAGCAAATTGAAAGCACAATTACAAATAACAAAAGCACTACAACATGAACAAAAACACTACATTTCTTAATGTCGTCGTGTTTTTCTTAATGTTGTATTTTTGTTAATGTTGTGTTTTCATTGATGTTGTGTTTTCGTTCATGTTGTAACGCTTTTGTTATTTGTAATTGTGCTTTCAATTTGCAGTAGCGCTTTGCACTTCAGGACCACCGTACATTTGCGACCAAAAAATTGACATCCTTAAGGTTTAAGTAGTAAGAATGCCCTAGTTTAATATTGTAAATATATAAGCGCTTACTCAGAGAATATCCAATTTTTTTTCTGCAAATATAATTTTTGGTAGAAATGTATTTCTTTATGATGACCTAAGTTTTTTTTCTAATCAATTCTAGCCCTAATACAGAAATGTAAATACTTTTCCTTTGTGTCTGCAGTCCGTTTGTTAGTGACGTTCACCGAGAACGTCATGTCAACTGCCCCTTTAATTATATATATTGATAATACTTGAAAATTATTCATTTCTTTGAATATATATGTATAAAAATTATGTATATGCTGAAATAAAAAAAATATTAATACTTCCAAATGCAAAGTATGTTAACGTAATTTGTTGTTATGAGGAGCGATAACTTAATTCACATTTTACACAACATTTATATCTGAAGAACATAAGTGACATCTTCAAGCCGACAGTACTGAAAACAAACTGACTTCAAAACGTGCAACAGGCAGGGCCTGCGCCTCCACAATTACTGTCGTTGAGCACACAGTGTGAAACTTCTAATGTGGTAAACAAAACCCAAACCGTGTGGCTTGGACTTTAATCAAAGGTGACTAAAGAAAAGAAGACTGATTACGCTCCAGCCACACAAAGCTATTTCTTTGCATTCTAATCCTCTGCGCGCCATCACCATTCAATAAAAAGCGCTCCGTTTCTGCCTACGGAGGACTAAATTAGACACCGAACACTGTCTGCGCGCTTAGCGATCCAGCGGCCTGATGAGTGATCTCACCCGGAATGAAAACAAGCACCTGTCAGCCTCGTTTTCTACTTTAATTTCTAACGAGATTCCCCCCTCCGAGGTGCGAGTGTCGTGAATCTTAAAAGAGTGGCAGAAATTTACATCAAAGTACAATTTTAAAATTAGCACAAATCTATGGGCCTCGGGGAGGAAAAATGCAGAAAACAAAAGCGAATCTGTGGGTTTAAAACAAAATGAAAGAGTAATGGAAGGCTATCCGTGCTTATTAAAAGTTAGCATTTCTTCACTCTACGTTAGTTCTTGTAGGAAACTCACATAGACGTCATGTTTATTTAAAAAACAAAAAAAGGATCTTTGTAACTACAGCTTGGTTGAGCGACTAGAAAGTGCCAACCGCTGCATCCAGCCATATGGCAACTCGAAAGACTCGCCGTTAGTCTTACTAAATATAATTTGTGCTCAGGTGTGGTGTTTTTGTCACCTGTGTGCAAGTGATTAAGTATCCGTGCCAACAAGGTAAACATAAGATGTTTCGGTGTCTGTATGGGACCCAAGAGGGGAGCGCTTGGCAAAGTGTCGTCTCATTAGCGGCTGGCGTGGGGACATGTTTCAGAGGAGAGCAGTCTGTGGTTATCAGTCAGTGGCAACAGGAGCAAGATTAGAATGAGATGAGAAGAGAAGAGGAACACCCAAATCCCACAGGAAATAAGCTTACCTCATTTTGACTTGATTCACACTCAGGAACACAATTGTTCCTTAACTCTTAAAGGGGACACATTATGCAATGTTGTGCTTTTGCACTTTCTTGTACTTCCGTTTGGATCTTGACTGCTTCTAGAAAGAATCCAAGTGCCAATAATCAAATGTTCAGTTGATGTCTGGATTATACTTCGTTACAAAAAACATTAATCTCTTAACACCAAATTAATAAGTAATATTATTATATACAAAATGTAAGCTCTTCTAAAATACTGCTTATCTGTTTCGACACAAGAAATTTACAGATTGTTAAATTTTGCTAAAGTAGAAAAATCAGATGTTTCTTTCGTGGCCCTTGGTTACATTTGTCTCTTAGCGACAGATTAGCCACAAATATTGTTATTGTTCAAAAACCACAAGATTTCTTCTGCTCTTTTGAAATACTAACTATGGCTGTGACTGCGTGGAGCAGCATTCATGGCACCACAAACACAAATGTTCTTCAAAATTGTTCCTGTTTGAAATAGACTTTTTCAGGATGCCACTTTCTTAAAATAGTCTGATTTTAAGAGATTATTGTTAAGTAGTAGAAGAGAAGTATTATCTCAAAAGAGCTGACCAAGTTTTTTTTTCTTTTTTGAACAGTAACAATATTTGTGATTAATCTGTTGCGAAGAGATGAGCATGTCTTCTGGTAACCAAGGGCCACAAAGTAAACATCTGATTTCTACTTTTGCAAAATTTATCAACTAGTAAATTTCTTGTCTCTAAGCAGGTAAGTATTATTTCAAAATAACTTTGTTTTATAAACACTGATTAACTTGGGGTTAAGAGATGAGGGTTTTTTTTTTCTCGTAACAAACTGCCACAAAGCATAACTCTGATTTTTACAGCAGGTGCTGAATGTCTGTTTCATAATATATTTACCACAAATGAAAAAAAAAAAACACACCACATTTTCACTTTTCTAAAAAATTCACCACCTGCACATTTCTTGTTAAGTAGTAAGTAGTCTAGGACAAGTAGTGTTTAAAAAGAGCAGAAGAAATCTCATGATTTTTTGAACAATAACAATATTTGTGGTTAATCTGTTGCCAAGAGACGATTGCGTTTTCTGGGAATCAAGTTCCTCGAAGTAAATATCTGATTTCTACTTTTGCTAAATTTACCTACTGTAAATTTTTTGTCTCTAAACAGATAAGCAGTATTTTAGAAGAGTTTATGTTTCATATACAATAATATTAGTTATTAAATTGATGTTAAGAGATTAACGTTTTTGTAACGAACTGCCACGAAGTATAAATCTGATTTTTATTTGTTGAATGTCTGTTTTATAATGTCTTTACAAATTAAATGACAAAAAAAAAACACATATTCACTTTTCTTCAAAATTTGCCAAATTGCACACTTTTTGTTAAGTTGCATGACAAATGGTATCTCAAGAGCTCACAAAGATGTTGTTTTTTTTTTGTTTTGTTTTTTAAACAATAACAATATTTGTTGTTAAGCTGTTGCTCAGCGACGAGTGCGGTTCTGGTAACCAAATTCCACGAAGTAAACATCAGATTCTTCCTTTCGCAAAAAATATCAATTGGAAATTTCTTGTGTCTAAGCAGACAAGCAATATTTCAAAAAAACTTAAGATTTATAAACAATAACTAATTTGGTGTTGAAATTAGCATTTTTTCTGGTGACAAACTTTTAAAAACATTAAACATTAAAAACAGGTTTTGTCGTTTAATTAACCGTTATCGTTTACGGATAGGCTAATTTTATCATTTTTCGCTGTGTTTTGTGGGTCTGAATTTACGCTGCAGAGAATCTAATCCAGCATGTGAAGGAAATGTGATAACTTTCTCCCTCCCACACCCACCACAGCCTCTACCAGACTTAATAAGGAGTTATTCCTGAATTTGACAAGAACCAGAGAAGATGCACTTCAAATATGTGTAATCAGAGAAATACACTGTGTTTCTATCTAAAGAGCCTAAGTATTATGAAGGTGGTTATCAGAATTCATTATAAATGACTAAAACCCCTCCATGCATAAATCTGCCTCTTTCGTCCATTAAGGCTCAAATTCAACACAGAAAACATTTTTAAACCTTTTAACTCCAGGCCTGGGTCTTTGATTCTTAGGAAACCACATTTTGATGAAGCCATTCAAACAGAAATGTAACAATCAACACTAATTAGAATTATGCTAGCCCAAGTAGCCTTTTTTTTTTATCCTCACATATTCATTATGAATTACTTAGTCTGACATGTTCAAATGCTCTTTCAACACATCAAGGCTGCAGAGAGAGAAACAGCCTGCTGCTGAAGTGTCTTGTTCCATTAATGTGGAACAACTCTAAACATTGTAGCATGAAATATTCAGAGTGCCGGCGCCTCCTCCGAACACGGAGGTACCGAAGAACGGTTGTCGTCGTCAAGGCGGCGGTTGCTGACGGCTGTGATAAAATGCCTTCCATCAACCAATGGTGTGTCATCTTTCAGTGACAGATGTACAAAAATAAAAATAAAAACTAAAACACGGGGCTGACAGTTTCTCTATTATACATAATAAGTGACAGGCCAATTCAGAGGCAGAATTACTGCAATGCTCATGATTTCATCTAAGGCTTTATCTCCAAGCAGTTCATGCATACGGCGGCAGAAACGAATTAATTCAAAGCTGAAATGAATGCATCGGGGAGCGCACTGGCCAGAACAATATGCAGCTTGATTTATACAAGCCGAGAACAGCCACCTCGGACATTTTTTATATATTGTTTTTAATCAATGACAACATAATCGAAAACTTCGAGCCCGGTAAGCCTTTTTATTACATTATTTTTAGAGGTGGATTAGTGGCTCATTTCCAAAGCTTCTCCATTAAAATCATCCAGTCAGTCAAATATCGGATGGATCGTCGTTCACCATCTCACATCTAATACTGTAAGAGCTCCAGCTCTGAGGCGTTCCATCGAAAAGGAAATATAATATTGAGGGTTTCACTGTTTCACTAGGGGTCTGTTTCTACTTGTTGAAAGCAAAATAAGTCAAGGAAAGATAGGCAAATGGTTCTCTAATAATGAACTTTACTGGTACTTGTAATGCACATTATGAAAATAGTCTAAGCATACAATGAAATTAAGTACAGTGGGCATGATACAATGAACGGCCAGTGAAGAATACTTCAGATCCCCTCTAAAAACACAAATAACTGCCTATTTTAATAGTTCAAACATTAAATATATCATCATATGCAAGGTTTGACCCAGTGTATTATAAGCCTGGCGGGTCACCAGGCTTTACTTGCAGTTTATTACCTGATCAAGAAGGCAACTGAAAGTATATTTGGTTTCTGAAGAGTCAATTTAGTCAACTTTTTGATGTACTTGGGTTATACAAAGGAAACATTTAAGAGAAAAAAAGTCTTACTATAATACCTGTTAAATGAGCATGCCACAAATCTGGCTTTAATTTCTTGAAAAAAAAAAAAAAAAGCAATAAAATCTGTTTTAATTTCCCATAGGCCATCTAGGAGCACATCAAACATGAGAAACAGGTTGCTCTGGTCAGATAAGACTCAAACTGAACGTTCTGCTCTGCAAACAAGGCGGCAGGAGTGACGGAAATCAAACGCTCCTCGTAACCTTGAGCACACCATCACCGCCATCTTTTCTTTAGCAAGCCAGAGTCAATGGGAAGATGAACTTCGAGAAGCCACATAAGACGTAAGACTTGTGCGAATGTTCGTCTCTCTGCTAAACAGTCACCATAAGCACACAGTGAGAACTAAAATGGAGAAATTGATGTCAAAATATACAGTCAACATCTTGACTGATTCAATTGAGAATAAGAAGCCCGACTTGAAAATGTACATTTAAGTATGTTATGTATGCAATCTGACTCCCTTTGAGCCATTAGGTAATAAAGAATAATAAAAGTTTTAGTAAATCTGGTAGACCTACAGCCTCAACTAGAAGAAAAGGCAGTTCTGCAAAGTATTGATCCAAGAGGTGAGAATACTTGTTTTTTTAAGAGACTATAATTTAATTTGGTTTTCCAAATCAAAACTTGCTATCTCTCAAAGAACTCAGAGATGCCCCACCCTTTAGGGGTCAGAGAGGAAGTTAGGCCATCTGGCCGTTTAAACATCTCAAAAGAGACATTTGTCATGACGTAAGCGACAATTTTCCAGGAACACGTCAAATCCTTAATCCGCACAGAGAAACGTCAACATGTTGTTTTGGAGCTGGAAAAGGCTGACTCACCATTTCATTTCTCAAAACCATAAATGTCGATCCATTTCACGTGGTGTGACAAAAAAGAAAGAGAAAAAAGGTCACTGGTCTGTTTTTGTCTTCCAATTAATCCAGATTAGATTAAAAAAAAAAAAACTCATCATGGATATGTTATGTATGTGCAACATTTTCAGTTAAAGAGAAATAAAGTTGAAAGACGAATTTCTCGTATTATATCAACACCATAATTTAAGTTCCAAATTTCATTTTTTTTCCCCGTCGATGAATTACATCAAGAGTTGTTACATTGCTCTCCAAACATTTTGACTTGTTCTTTTTTTTTTTTCCAAAGTTACATGATAAAAAAGAAAAAACAAAACAAAGTGAATGAATCTCTGCCATCTGGTTTTTAAGCAGATTACAGTGAAGTGCAACAACCAGACCCAGTGAGACACAACGACAAATGTCATCTGGCATCACAAAACTGATGCTTTTTGTTTGCTGAAATGTCCTCCTTGATCTGAGTGAACTGTTCCTTTCCGAGTCTTATCTGCTATGTAAGGTGTGCTGCATGCTCTGCAATAAAAAGCAAAACGCGATGCCATGTGAACAGAAGATAACCGTTCTCCATCTGTAGCTTCGACGCAAATCACCTTAATGCTTCTCAAGTATCTTCCTTACCTCTCAGCGAGAAGTGAATTTTGAATGCCCCAACAGCTGTTGATCTGTTCGCCTTCAAACCGGCTAAGCCACTTCTGTTTTGCTGAGCAGTGTCTTTCCCAACAGTAGAGATCCTTTGTCAAAAAGCACGCCTGCATCTGTTTCTGCAATCACGCGTTTATCGGGACATTTAAAAAGCGAAAGACTACGGCAACAGGTGAGCAACAGGTGAGCTACACGTTCACGGTGAAGTGGTTGCCCACTGCTTTCAGTGACAAAAAAATGAAATGTACATCCTATGCCCTACAGTTCTATAGAATTACCTTTTCTCTTGAGATATCCGCCTATAGTTT